GCGATTCCGACATTCTCAAGAGCATGCCGGGCGACCAGTAATTTTGTTAAGATCGTGCTTTCCGGTGATTGCTGTTTTTCCCCTCTAAACTGTGTCATTTTAATTTTAATTGTGGTTCTTCAATGCTAGTTGGTTGACATGTACCATCACACCATCCAGATTCTGGCAGTGTTTTGATGTTTGGTTGATGAATTTTGCTTCTGGGATGAAATGATGAACTGTGCCTTTCCTTTAATTATTTATCTTTATTTACATATGAGTAGCATTATGTGTCATAAACATGACTTTTATGAACTATTTTCATCATCCAAAAACTTGTCCTTACAAAAACCCCCCAAACAGGTACCTGAGTATTCTTTATGTGCTCTATTTGGCCAGTTTTATTCTGGTGCTCTTGTGTAGAAAATGTATTTTCTACAATACTAGCCTTAACATCTCTGCTAAAACCCTTCTTTAAGTTCAGACATGAGATGTTCGAAACCGGATGAAATGTCAAAAATTCATCACAAAAAATAATTAATATTGATTAGTTCGGACTCCGGTCGAAATGACTAACGAAACTAATTTGAGAATGGCCTAAGACCGAGTTGAACTTGATTGAACCAGACTGGAGCGAAGACCGAACTAAACAAAATCATGGAGTAATGAGTCATGACCGGACTTAAATCTATTTGCATTCGGATTGGAACATACCAAAATACTTTGAACCGATTGGACAGATAAAATTTTTTTTATATAAATAATTTTGATCTATTAATTATGTTTTAGGCTTTCGTGCAAATTATTTATATGATTTTCTTTGTAAAAAATAAATAAAATAAGTACCTTTTCAAAAAGAAAGTGAAATATCCTTTTCATTTTTAATACTCCACAAAGTATTTAAAAACCCTAGGGGAAAAAATTTGCTTTATTTTTCTATTTTTTTCATTTATTTTGCTTTGTATTATCTTTTTTCAGGAGTTTTTCTTATTTCATTTATTTTTTAATGTATAAAAAAAATTTCATACATTCTTCAAGATGAAATTTTTTAAAAATGTTCTAAAAGAAGAGAAAGAAACAAAAAGAGAGACATTATAAATATAACCATGAAACATTATTGACAAAATAGAAGAAATATACAGAGTATTTCCTCTGTTCCAGAGTATTTGTCCACTTTAATTTTTACACACCATCCAATGCACTTCTTTAATCCATTTTATCTTGTAATTTGTATATTAAAAAATTATAAAAATTTAATATTAATAATCTATATGTTAAGACAAATCAAACAAGATCACGAATGACTATATTTATGCTTACACATTGAGAGAATTTGATGAGTCAAAGTGCTTAGATGAACAGTTCCAAAAGTCAAAAGTGGACGAATATAGTGGGACGGAGGTAGTATTTATTAGCGCCTATAGATAAAGTATTGGATGAATGTTTCTACCCAGTCCTTATAATAAAATTTAAAAGTTTTTGAGTTCTTTCTAGAAATATTTCATTTAATTCTTTTCAAGTAAATTGATTGTATATGAACTCTTTTTTATTAAGGTCTATTTTTAATATGAACACTTTTATACTTCATATTTGTATTTTTTTGCACGACATTCTCAGGAGCATGCCGGGTGACCAGTAATTTTGTTAAGATCATGCTTTCCGGTGATTGTTGTTTATCCCCTCTAAACTGTGTCATTTTAATTTTAATTGTGGTTCTTCAATGCTAGTTGGTTGACATGTATCATCACACCATCCAGATTCTGGCAGTGTTTTGATGTTTGGTTGATGAATTTTGCTTCTTGGATGAAATGATGAACTGTGCCTTTCCTTTAATTATTTATCTTTATTTACATATGAGTAGCATTATGTGTCATAAATATAAAATGGAAATGTTTAATGTGAGACAAATGAAGTATTACTTATATGTTAGTTTTTTTTCATTTCATTTAGTTTTTAAACACGAACAATTTTGAATTTTTAAAACATTATATTATAAAAATATGATTTTAACAAATATAACCAAGAAAATTAAAGAAATCATCAAGAAATAAACGGAAAATGGGAAATGAGTTTCAA